CCAAGCCTAGCCCTAGAAACCTGGAAAAACCTACCAAAACCCCGCGGTCACGGTTGACGCCGTGAGCAAAAACTTGTGCTCAGAAGTTGCGGCATCCGCAAATGCTTTCCCGCCCACCCACCCTTGATGCGAAACAGCGTCGGATACTCTGAACGACTGCATGTTCTTAATGCGAAAGCATGTTTCAAGTCACAACATGTTCAAAAACTCATTCCACACACAGGGACTGATGCACCAGTGCATGTGGTCTCTCGTCATGCTACGGCCACTTCTCATGCCCATGCCGTACTGCACTGTGACCTACATGTGACAGTCATTTGCAGTACCTCTGCATTCCACAAGCATAAATAGCCTTCATGACCTTCGTCTTTACAGGTGGGCCTCAATGAGTTGGAGCCAATCTTTCTCGGTCGAGTGTCCCGAGGAGAGGTCACTTCCGGCCAGATTCGAGTGTATCAAACTGTTGATGTAGAATTGTCCAACTTGTTGTCTCTGCATGGTGCAGGAATTCCAGCATGTTGCAAAGAACGTGTGTCAAACTGTGTTGCGCCTTATGTGCAGGTCGGACGTCACTAGGACTGCTTTGTTCAAGTTTTCTGGACCTTTGAGCACAAATCGTGAAACCTCTGGAAAAGCGTAATTCATGCTTTTAAGGCTCTGAGACATGAAAGCTTTCGAAAATGTTGTTTTCGCTAAAGTCTTGTGGTCAAGAGACAGACATGTTGGTGGTTGCCAACTCTGTGTGGAGTTCGCTTTCGGGCGCAAGCTGTGCACCAGCTGGTTCCTCCGAATCTAAACGTTGCTCCGCAACTCGAATGTGGTGACAAGAGTGCTGTCTTTTCCAGCTTTCTCAGAAAGTTGAGTTGAATGCCAAATATGTCAGAGTTTCCAAAGACCAGAAGCAACAACCTATTTTCTTCGGCTCCCGAAACAAATCTCTACCTCTCCCTGGATCAAGCAACAGGGAAACGGCCAAAGCAGACAAAAACAGAATGTGTCGAAGGGCCACACCTCCCGTGCGAGCACCTGGGCACCTTTGGGATTTGCAGCATTGGACTTTCCGATCACGACCTGGGAACTCTGAAAAGGCAAAGATTTTCGAAGATCACGGGTCCTGGGGGCAAAGCCGACTTTGGAAACTTCTGGGCGTATTCCTCAGAAAAAAGAGCGGCAAGGAAAGGAGGCGCCCACCGTAAAACGAGCCAAGGCCGAGGCCTCCAGCGCGCTGGCCGGAAGCACCTCTCGCAGACTTGTTTTCACTCAGCCACTCAGCCTGGCTCTCTGTGTTGTCCAAGTTGTGGCAGAAGCACCATCGGAGCGGGAAAGTCGAACTCCTCCACGGCAGTGAGCCGATCCTGACGAACTTGAGCGTCACTGCAGCACAGTGACAACATCGGAGCACATGCAGTTGCTGGCTCCACAACTTTTACAACTTCGATGCTCTTGCAGCGCTGCTCACATGTCTTGCACCCGAGCGAAACAAGCTGCCAGTACATGATGGCCCAGCAACGTCCAACAAACTCCAGCTGCACTGGCCACAGTCGTCGGCAATGTCTAAGAGAGTCTAAGCTTGGCTGCTCTTGTGGAATCGCGCGTCCAGCCGTGACCCGTCCACAGGGGCCCAAGGCTTGCATTGACCAACTACAACCAGCATTGAAGCTGCGCCGCAGACAGGAGAATCAGGAGGCCACAGAAGTTGACAGTTGACACGTCCGTCCCAGTCCGCTCGGCGAGACTCGCTGACGGCGATCACTCGGTGGCATGAACAAGCGCAAAGACATTAAGGAGGCCCACCGGCACAGAACAGCGAGACGGGCCAGGTGTAACTGAGGGTGGCTGAGCTCCCTTGGGCAGGGGGGGCTTGGACGCACCACTTCTGCCATTTTCTTTCGGGTTCTCTCTGCTCTTCGCTCTTCGCTGGCTTCCGTGAACCCACTTGCTTCAGCACGCTGTGTAAAGTTCGCGCTGAGATAGCTTCAGGGCTGCGAGGTGGCGCAGGCAAAGATGTTGCACATCCACATGTCGTTGCAGCTCACACGCGCACACAACCCGACCTCCGAGGCTGGCAACTGGAAACACGGGCCATGACCATGTCTTGGAAAGGCCAAATTCTTCAGCTATACATGCGCATGCACCTGTATGGTACAAGCCTGCAAGCAAAGACCTCCGTCTTAGAAAACTCGACCGAACACGCACCATTTCCGCTTTGCTCCGTAGATGCTGCATGTGGATGCGGACCCGCAAACTCAACTGAAGTTAGGCCCCAGACGCGGAGGCCATTGGCTGCTCGGATGCGATCCATCTGGGATGAATCACCGGCCACCTGCACAGTGACTTTGTAAAGCTATAGCTAATCAAAGCTGCATCAAGGAAGCACAGGCACCTTGGAAGATTCGTATTTGGCCACCAGCTCGACATTTGCAGGTTTCGCTTTGACATGACGTCCTGGCAAGCAAAATAGTAGCAAGCTGCGCGTCACCTGTTTGGCTTAGCGGGTTGGCTGCACCCGATCATGCGCTAACATGGCTGCACAGCTGCGGAGTCCGTCAGACAGTGTGATGTCGTATCTCAGGTTCTCTACCTCATATGCATGGTCTCACTGCTAGTTCATGCTTGCCCAGGCTGCTGCGAATTTAAGCTTTCCACATCAAGCCGACCGCATTCTCCGATGGCTTCCTCAGTCACTGCCAGATGAAGACATGCTACGAGTAGCCCTCTGCATGCGCCTTCCGCGTCTCTTGAAACATTTAAAGGACTTTAAAGGATGAGGCAAGCTGCGTTCAGCTCTATGGAATCTAGGCCGCGGAGCTTCACGATGCATCCAGTCATTACCTTTCTGCAAGGTCCGGAACGTATCGCGTGCACAGCCCGTGATATTCCGTGACGCTTGGCGGGCCTTGAAGATGTTCTCCATCTTGATGCTCTTCTCCCCTTTGCCACCCTGCTTCAGATCGATGTCCGCACGAGTGAACGGACTTTAATCAAGCGCACTGAGCCTCCACACAAACCAGAAATCGCTTTGTTTCCTCGTTGTACCTTTGACAAAACGAGTGCGAAGCTCTTACACACAGCTGCAGATGCACTCCCTGCACTCGCCGTGTGTCGAGTTCTATATGTCCCAGCAGCTCTTTGACCACTCCCATGAGACCGTTGAGATCCTTTGCTCCCTGCTGAAGGCTCATGCGCTGCACAGCGAGTGCTCTCGGACCTCTCTACTCTGGTCGCTGGTCGACCTTGAGGTTCAGGAGTGCGACGGATTTATCTTTCCAGTCCTGTGCTCCGAATTCGGGGGCACGGGAGCCCTTTTGCTGCCAAGGTCGGTCCTTTTCGAAGTCGAACTCGGGAAGCTCCTCCTCTTCTTCTTCTGCCCCAGCCCCAGGAGCCCCAGGCCTTCTCCAACAGAAAAGCAGTGACCGTCTCACAGCGGGCAACTGAGTGTCCGTCTCCCCAACCCGGGCTTTCTTGGCTGCAGGACCGTCTGCCTCTGTAGTCTCAGCATAGCCACTGGTCACTCGCTACAACCAGATATCTAGGAGCCATGCAGACAACGCGCCCTGCGCGAAGGCGAGGCGCTCTGCCGCCGTCATGGAGTCCTCGCGAACAATTTGCACCCGCAGGGCTCGGACGAGTACCGGTACAGAAGACAGACAAACATCAGCTGGCAGTTCCTGTCCTTCCCCTTCTCTTTGCCTTTGCCTTTCCCTTTCTCTCCTTTTCCCTTGTCTTTGCCTTTGCCCTTGTCCTTGCCTTTCTCTTTGCCTGTGGTGCTTGCAGAAGAGCTCAGCTTTAAGCTTCGTTGCCGCCCGACCTTTCAGCCTTGCACGCTCGCCAGGGGCATACTCGTAGGATCCATCTTCTTTCCAGACCTCCGGAGAAGAGATGAGTGGTCCAGGCCACATATTTCCGAGTCACTGTGGCCCCAGCCCCAGCCATCGCCACTGGCCTCAGGAGTCACCGATGCACCTCTCACTCTGCCAACCATGAGAGCAAACACGCTGTGCCGCAGACCATGCAGAAAGGATGACAAGGATGAGGCTACATCGACGGCTTCATCATGATGTGCATTCTGCTACTGCTGTTTGTGACTTGAGGTCTTGAACAACATACAAGAGGAGCTCTAGCCGCAACTATCGTCACCTTGTCTGCAACGACATCATACTTTCCGCATGAGTAGGAGTTGGGCTCTTGAGCAACATGTGCTCTCAGGCCTATTCCACATTCATGATGCTGGATCGAAAATCAGGATCACGAGCAGTTCCTTGTTCAGGCAACCCAGACTGGGTAGCTTAAATCGAGTGGGTCGCACTGTGAGACGAGAAGGGCGGGGATCAGCAACATTAGCTTAGCCCATGCAGCAGCACGAAGCCGTCGTGACCTGTGGAGGCAAAGCTGGCATCGCTCACTGCCGCCACTGCGGTGACCCCACCCTTGTGCGTGTCCTTGATCTGCACCTTGGAGTCGGGCTTTTGAAGGTCCCAGACGAAGAGGTGGCGATCCAAGGATCCGCTGACCAGCTTCTGGCCACCCTCCAGCCAATCCAAGGACGAGACCCTAGCCGTGTGGAAGTTCCAATCGGAGATCTTGGCCACCGGATTGCCGTCACTCAGCCCCCAAACCACGATCTTGTGAGCAGCATCGCTGGAGGCCAGGTGCTCTCCTGTTGGGGAAAATCGCAGTGCGGAGACTTCAGCCAAGTGCTTCTGCAACAGGGCCTTCTCAACAAGGCCGTCGGCAGTCTCATCAAGGATGTCCAGAAGGTGGATGTCATACTGCGCACTAGACATGCCACCGGTTTGCCCCTCGGGCTGCTCCAGGGCAACCGCGACTTTCTTCCCTGCAAGTGAAGCAAAAGCAGTGGGCCTTCGTTTCACGGCATCGGCTTTGCTCCAAACGATTGAGTCTGAGATGCAGTGAAAGTTCTTCTTCCCGGTGGCAACTATGAGCTTCGTTTCACCTGCATCAAGCCAGCCTGCACCGACCATGAACTCCTTGACCTCGACAGGCGCGCTTGCCTCGCCGGTTTCCAGCGCAATCTTGCGGATGCAATCATCGAGGGAGACGATCCAGGCTTCTGGCTTCCCGGCGAAGGAATCAGAATGACCCAGAACATGCTGAATGCCCTTGCCAATACTTGCCCTGATCACCGGCCCTGACGACGGAGCAATAGCAACAGAGCCCTCTGTCCCTCCGTACACCAGGCTCTTCGATTTCTTGTCACAAGCCAGGCAATTCAAGGGACCCTGCGTGCCATTGATGGTGCCGGCAAGGCTGAGGCCAGAGGTGACATCCCAGAGCAGCAGCCGCCCGTCCAAGCAGACGGATACCACGCGCGAAGGGGATGCCCAAGATACACCGACTTGCATGTCTGCCAAAGCCGTTCCGACGGTGGCCTCTGCTACCTGGGCGCCAGCTTCTCGGTCCCAAATGCGGAGCTTCTTGTCCCCACCAGCAGTGGCACAGCGTGCCGAGTCGGGGGACCAAGCCATTGCCCAGAAGCTGCCAGAGACGCCGTCGGGCTTCGCAAACTCCTTCAAAAACTCTCCCTCCTTGCCCTCGTAGAGACAAAGTTTGGAGTCAGAGCCGGCAGAGGCAAACCAGGCACCGTCTGGCGAGTATCGCACACAGTTCACGAAGTTGGAATGCGCGTTGTGAGACCTGACCACGATCACAACAGCACAGCTAGGTTTGTTACCACGCTCCCTTTCTGTTTGACTACGGCATTCAGGCCTGACGAACTTGAAGGGTGGACCTTGGTGGAAGATGACTTGCATGTCCTCGCCGCCAGTGACCACTTTGAAAGGCCTCTGGGACCGGAAAGCAATGGAATTGACCTCCACGGCAGCACACCGAAACTGCGCCTCACCTGATCGCCTGATGCCTTCTTGTAAATACGATGTGTGCAGAGCGGAAGGATGCGACCAGGCCTGCTTGGTGTGGCCAGTTACCTCGCCTGTTTTGCTGCCGGTGTCCCAGATCATTGCCGCTGCCCTTACCTCCTTGCCATCACCAGCTGCAACCAGGCCTCAACTTGCCCGAAATCGAAACATCTGCTGAGTGGGAATAGGACTCGAGGCATTCCCGAACGGCTTTCTACGGGTTCCAGAGGCTCTAAGTTCGGATGAGCCACGGCCCGAATCGTCACTCCAGGCGACATCTTTCACAACCCCGTCCTGCATCCACGGCAGATCTCACGCTCTTGGGACTTGTGCTTGAGGTCTGAGCTTGGAGCTTCAGCATGTGTCTGCAATGGCCGTGCCATTACCAACAGCAGTTAGTAGTTTCTTGACGGGACAGCCGCAAGCCAGCAGGACAAAAACGAAAAAAGCAGGCCGAGCGTCCCAAAGCTTGTACTCGTTCTTCTGTGCATGCTCCCCTTTGGCACCCCAGAGTCTCAATGATCCTGTGACATCACCGGATACAACCCACTGGCTATTTGGCGACATAGCCGCGCAGGTGGTGTTCTTGACGTGACCTGGCAAACAGAAAACACTTCCATCTCACATGAGACGCTTTCCAGCCAAACCTCGACAGCAATCTGCCCTAACACAGCCTCGCCAGCAGAAAATGTCGTCCGGCTTTTCGGTTCCAGCTGCCATTGCAGACAACGGACGCCAAATCACGTTGCTGCCGCTGCAGTAGAGGAGCAGCTCACCTGGAGGAGTTGTAACAGGCATGTCTTTCACACAGCATGTGTAGCCTGTCAGAAACGAGCGCAGATCAGACAAGGTGCCGCTCTTGTCGCTTGAAATGGAGCAGAAGGTGCCTCTTTCTGTAGAGGGCAGCGGAGGAATGCTGCGTAAAGTTTGCGCCATTGCTCCGCTCGGTTCTGCGAGATCAATTATGGTGCAATCAGCGTGCAACCTGCAACCCTCGATATATCTTCGATCTGCACGAAAGTAAGGTTGCAGCTTGCAACATTGGTTTTAGCCAGTTCAGCACATGTCCAAGAACGGCTGGCAAAAAACGGGATCTGCAAGCTCCGGACAACATTCCATGGCAACAGAAACAGAGCAGATGGCTCTATGTCTACGTCTACGTACGGTGCCAACGGATGAAATCGACAAGATCACTTTCCAACAATGCAAATCTGAAGCAGCCTTACCCCTCAACACTTTCGATGGTCACTCTTCGCTTGTCTACACCTCACCTCAACGTTGGCTTCGGCGCTTTGCCGCTTACACTGCATGTTACTGCCAGCTACTGCTCTTTTCTGTCTCGGCTTCCCACGTCGAGGCACGCTCAAGGCTCGCCTTTTCGGAGAGCGCTTGACAAGGATCACCTCCTCAGTTGGAAGATGTTGAAATGTCGTTGCTGTTCAACCCGTGCACAGGAAGTTGCGCAATTCACGGCTAAATGGCTGAGGAGATCAGTGCGCGATGAAGACCGGGCATAGCTGCTCAACCAGAAACTTTGCTCTTCTTGGCGGCAGGTTCTTCTGGTTCGTAATTGACCTGGCGGCAGAATACCTTCGACATGGACCGGGGCGGCGTACCGAAAGCATCACACCCGCCTCAGCAACCTTGTCAACCCAGTCGCTATAAACATCGACTGCCTCGCAGCTGAGCAGTGAGAGTCGCTACAATCATGGACGCGGCCGTAAAGAAGTCTGGCACAACGGCTTGCCACAGCAGGACTTCAAATAGCCTCGCTCAGGTAGCTGATCGGCGACGAAAACCCAGCATTGCAAACTCGGCACTTCCTCAACTGCAAGCAGCTGGGACATCATGTTGGAAGTCCCTGCTGTAATTACAGTCAGGCAAGAGACAAGAACCCGATCTTCTCAAGACGAACCATCCTGACCTGCACAAGAAGCGACGTTTTCGAGCATGGCACGCTATGCTGCAAAAAATGATGGAACCGACAAGATCGAAGCATGCGAACCATGGCTGTCAACAGATCTGAGCACAAACTCCAACAAACACAACACGCATGGAAGCCAGCATTTGGATGAGAAGTGGAATACCATGCTGTTCATGGTCTTGCCCCGGCCTCCACTGCTTTCAAGCTGCCGCAGAAAAGGCAGTCAAACCTGCAGAAGCAATGCTTCTCCCACGCAACACAACGTCACCCGTAATCGCAGCCCAAGTGCTGCGTATCCAGCTTTTGCTTCGGCTTAGCTGGTGGCTTGGCTCTTGCTCGACGCCGACCTGGCCATCACGACAACGCAAAGATGCACATGAGCAGCACTCCAATCCGGTTCCAAAACTATCTAACAGCCAGTGCAACAATGCATCAAATGCTCTTGTTAATACAGGCCCGGCCCGCCCATTTTGTGGTCGGCACGTCAACATGTAAATCATGGGAAGCACGTTCGTTTGCCTGCACGCGTGTAGAACCTGCTGGGTAAGTGTTCTAAACTTTGACATCGGAATCTCTCCATGCTGAGAAACATACGACACGTGGCATGCGACATGGTATACTGCTCAAGCAATTCGAATTGACCCTTGGATCCAGCAGCTTCTCTGGAAGGCTGTTGCTGCGTAAGGTGTCTGACGACAAATATCAAATCTAAAAGTGCAAACTGGGTTTTGAATGCGGACGCGCACGTCACAAGTCAAAAATTAGTCTATTTGGTTGTCTTCGTTGGTGTGCTTTTGATTTTTTGGCTTCGTTGTGCTGCTTGCTCCATGCGCGAAAAATGTCGTGTAGCCTTTGGCTTGTACGGGCCCACTTTTGTCCTACAGGCTGCAAGTCGGGAAATGTACTGGAAGAATGCACAGAAAGCGAGACACAGGGGCTCGAAGCGCTCCACGCTCCGGAGTTGCCTGTACCGGAAAATTGTTTTTTTTTGAGCTCTGCACCTTCAAACAACTGAACGGCCAGTTGTAACCTCGGTGGTTGGGCAGCAATGTCTCCCAAATCTTGTACGGGATATTGGCCAACTGAAATACACGTGCCGGAAATCCTCCAGAACACGGTTCACACAGGCCACAGCAGCGAAGGTGCATGAAAGGACCTGCCATCCTGCACTAAATTTTTAGTTGAAATGTCGGGTTGCACGGTGGTGAAAACAAAATGTCAAAAATGTCGATAGGTACCCTTAGACCTCCATGCAGATCACAACCTCCAAGGTGCAGTCAATTCATGATGTTGTTCTCGAGTTGGACTGCTTTTTTTTCGACCTCGAAATGCTTTGTTTTCAGACCGCGCGCTTGGTCCATCTTGTTTTCGACCCTGACATGTCTTTTTCCCTCTCAATTCTTTTTCAGCCCCGCGACAAGATCTAGAAAAAGACAATCATTTTTTCGACCTCCATGCTCTGATTCACGAAGGTTTTTTGCTTTCCGAAACATCTCGTTTCTGACGCTGGGTCTATTTTTGAACCCCGGCAAATCTTTTTCTGACCTCCAGGGTCTTTTTTCTGTTCTGACTACCTTAGTTTCCTTAGCGACCAACTTAAGCTCTGAGAAAAGAAGCACGCAGACGCTCTTTTGTCAAGGTGTGCTCGGAATGGTCCGGAGGAGCATAGCATTGCTACGCGGATCTGCTCTAGCCCCCACTGTAGCTCCGAGCACACCGCTGGTCCAACTTGCCCCCTCCGTCGTGCGGCGAAGGAGCGTCCTGGCAA